GATGCAGATTTTGAAGATGATTTGGAGGAGAATGGGACATTACTCATAGGTAGATAACCCAGAGATCTGAGCGCAATTATCCAGACTCTAGATGCTTACCTTAGATACTCAAAAGTACTAAAGCTTGTCAGGGTGACCTGGATGGCCCTGACAAGTTCCCAGTGGTGAGGAGAGACATCCCCGGGTCCATGAGGGACAGTCCCATTGGCCAAGCAGTTTGTGCCGTAGAATCCCTTTGGTAATTATGGAGTTCTCCAACCTCAAGCCTTCCCTCCAGAGAGGGAGTTATGCCAACATATGCCCCAAAGTCATGACAGCACCATTTCTCATCATTGGTAGTCCTCTAGGTAACACTGCCCGGACTCCTACTTGATGAGAATTCTCTTCTTGCACCAAGTGATGTCATAGTTTTCCTCAACCATGTTAGCCTTTTGGGCCTTTTTGGACCTTTGTTGGCCTAACCCCCAAAATATGTGGCTGTTTAGAGGCTTCCCAGGACTCTAATCAAAACATGTAGGGTAGCTACTGAACTTCCATACGAAGGATTTCAGTGCGTAGAAAATCAGCAGTCCTGTCAGCCCATGTGTCCCCCTCAAAAAATGTCAATCTCCATTAGAGAGATTTGAAATTGCCAAGTGTTAATAAACTTCAGGAAAAATGAAAGAAACTTTTGTTGGGGAGGGGGAATGATATCACTTCCTAAATGTGAGGGTTTTTCTCAAGTAATAACACCTGTCACTTGTAGAGTGCTTTACTGTTTACAAAACACTTGCATATATGTTTTCTTGTTTAATTCCCATAGTAATTCTGTGACCTGTTACGATTCTGCTTTACAGATATGAAAACAGACCCTCAGAGAAATTAATCCGTGTGCCTCCAAATCTCAGAATGTGTCTTGATTTTTCTAATTCAGTGCACTTTCCAGTTACCCTATGCTCATGACGTAAGTGGTTGTAAGACATAGAAAGTAGGGTAAAGTCTGTATCTATCAGTTTGCTATAAATTACAAGTAACAGAAGGAATATAAGATGGGTGCCATGTCCCATATAGTAATTACTTTTCAGAACTCTTTTCAAGATCATAATTAAGAGGTTTTATTTGTCTAAAAGATGAGGGGGCCTCTCCCATTGTTAGTGATTTATTTTGCTGTGACATTAAGGTTAGATACTTAAATGCCAAGATTACCGTTAAGAATGGTCTCTGAGAATGTGCTGTCTATCCCATGTCACTGCTTCTCCTTTGCCTTTGGATTACAGACGCACATACCCGCACACGCATGTAGTTGTGATGCTAGAGGCTGAAAGGGCGACTTCTAGTCAGTCTAATTGCAGACACCTCTTAGTTATTTCTGTTGTGAGGGATGAAAGAAGTAGCATTTTTCAGAACCGAAATTGACCGACAACACGGTACTCCTTTTAACCAAGTTTTGACTCAGGAAGTTTGAGGTTACCTCTTTTTTTTTTTTTTTTCCCCTGAATGGTTTCCATGGTCAAAAACCAAGAATACAAACTGTTAACCAGCCTCAAGTAATAATAATGTAAAATCATGAAGGTGATTTATAATTGGTTGTATTCATTCCTTTAGTTGTAAAGCAAGCTTATAAAATAGAGAGGTGTTACTCCCATTTTACAGGGTGGGAAGTCTGACGTCTGTTGACTTGGCCATAGTCACACAGCTACTGTATACTGAGTTTTGGACTTGAGATTTCTCATCCCAGATGTCTGCACTGATTCAGATTCTAAACTGCCTACACACACACACACAGAAACACACACACACACACACACACATACCTTTACACCCTTTGTGACTTGGCATGGAAAAGAAATGATAACAAAGAAACCCTTAAAAAGTGGAGCCCTATAACCGAGTTATTTTTGTTGTTCCTGATAACATTCTAGACTCGCACTCTTCTGTGTTTTTGGTGTACTCTGTAGTGATGTTTTTCTTACACACCCCTACTTAAACATTGCGTTTTCCAAGCATATGAATAGAAAATGCCCAGCTACCCCAAAGGACCGGATTGACATAATATGAGCTCTTTGTTTACCCACTGAATAGGCACAACTTGTCCCCTGCCAGCTGCTTTGTCCACAGTCTTAACCTTGTTCTGTGGGAACCACCTGTATGAGTGGCTGGGTAATTAACTCCATACTCCGGTGTTGCCTTCCGATCTTCCGTTAGGAATAAATCAGATAATGCTTCTACATGTGAACAATATACCGCTCTCTGAATTAGGTTTGGACCACTGAGGCAGGTGGACATGGACTGAAGAATACTGCATTTAAGAAGAAGTACAGAGCTTCTTAGATGAAGGAACTATTGAGGCAAAGACACATTTTAGTGCTGTACTCAGGATACCCGAGTGTGGGGTCTGGGAGTATCAGGACAGGAAGTGATAGAACTGGGCTGAATTGCCCTGTCTTACTCATTTCATTTCAGACAGTGAATTGCCCTAAGATTACAGTGTGGATTACATTCTTCTTTCCTGGGGGAAAAAAAGTGATTCCAAAATCATAAATCATAAATTACTTTTTTCATAAATTCATTTATCCTGAGAAATGGGTTTATTAACATTGAAAACTGACACCAAGGTAACTTTAAGACCCAGCAGTGACATCAGCGGGAACTTAAGTATAGAAGAAGACAAGCCTCCCACTCAGGGCTGAGAGAGCCTTTACTGTAAATCTACCCCAACACGTGTACCCAGCTTAAGATGAATCACTTCAGGACTCTTAGAAGCCACTTGTTATTACATAAGCAACTGGCAATAATCAGACAATATGTCACCAAAAACGGGAAAGTTCATATTATTTAAATAAAGTCTTCATTCTTTAATCAGTGCGGTCATTAAGGAGAGTTTACATACATACTTCACTTCCAGTCAGAGGAAAACCATCACCTCCTCGTTCCTGATGAAGTTATACCTTATTGGAACCTGGGCCAAGCATGTTGTCACCAGAACAAGGGGCAAGAGTCAGTCCTGAGTTTTCCTAAACGTTTCCGGTTCTGTTTATTGATGAAACCTTTAGACATTTGGAATCTGTGTTTCTGCTGCCTACAATCATCATCGCCCTGGAATTTTTTTTTTTATTTTCTTTATCTTAACCAGAAAACTGTTTTTGTTTTTTTAATATTTTATTTGTCAGAGAGAGAGAGAGAGAGAGCACACAAGCAGGGGGAGGGGCAGAAAGAGAGGGCGAGGCAAGCTCCCCGCTGAGCAAGGAGCCCGTGTGGACTCGATGCCAGGACCCAGAGATCATGACCTGAGCAGAAGGCAGACACTTAACCAACTGAGCCACCCAGATGCCCCTGACCTAGAAATTTAGTTGTGAGTGGGCTCTGATACCAAACTCTTAAAATTCATTCCAGGTGACCTTATCTCAGTTATTATCAAAACCTGGTCTGGTCCGGGGCCTTGAAGGCATCACTTGTCCCCATTCCGTCAATAGAAACAGGAGCCAAGGAACAAGTGAAGTGACGTATTGTGACCAAAAGTGAGGAAGCTGCTTTCCAAAGAGATCAGCTCCCTGCCACAGAGAAGTCTATTTTTAAATTGTTTAAATTTGCTTGGAAAGGGATTATTTCATGACCCTGGTGTACTTCCTGGATCTGTTTCGTCTTCAGTGCTTCCTAAAACATTTTTCAAAATCCACTCGTGATTTTCTAATCCTTCCTAATACATGGACGCTTAAAATGCAACTCTTCTTTCTTTTTTTAATCCTAGCTTTGAAAATGCAAACAAATGCCCGAGCCTTGAGAACTGATTGGAAAAGTGAGTGAGGGCCCTTGGAAGTAGAGCTGGGTGCCAGTGGTTCTGTCATTTACGCACCTTACAGAAAATTGCAGTTTCCACTAAGAAAAGTTCAAGCATCCTCACTGCAGCTGCTGCTTCTGTTGGACAGGGGCGACGTAATGCACTGCACTCCCTCTGCTGGCTCTGAAATTGCAACAGTTCATTACCCACACCTACATTTAGATGTATTTCTGCACTTTAAAAAAAAAAAGAAAAAAATATATTTGTACATATACATACACACACACACACACACACACACACGTACATATATATATGGAGCAAACGCCGGGAACCATGCTGATTCTATTATTCATTTAAAATGTCAGGAAAAACAAATTATCTGCCCGATGCAGATGGTTGGATGAGCCCGAAAGCTGGCAGTTTTTAGGCTTTCTATCCGCACTGGACTGAGAAAAGGGGAGGGGCTGCCTCTCCTCTCCCTGAGGCGGATCTCTAACAGCCTTTAAAAATGACTCAGTTCCTTTCAAACACCAAGAAGATCTTTTCCCAGAGCTCAGGGAGCCAGTTATTAGAATAGTAGGTTTTGTACGTTCAGAACAGTCCAGAGAAAGCATGGGGCGGTGGGGGACACCTGGGTGGCTCAGTCGGTTAAGCGTCTGCCTTCGGCTCAGGTCATGATCTCAGGGTCCTGGGATCAAGCCCCGTGACTGATTCAGACCTCGGTGGGCGATGGGGGCTTTGCGGGGGATGACTGCTTGTTCCTCTCCCTCTGCCCCTCCCCCTGCTTGTGCTCTCTCTCTCCATCCCTCTCTCAAATAAATAAATAAATAAATAAAATCTTAAAAAAAAAAAAAAAAGGAAAAGAAAGCAAAAGCATGTATTTGGCTTGGGGTGAAGGGGAAGAGAAAGGGTGTCAGAGAGGAAAACTGAACATCATCACGCTGAGGTTTCAGACCTCTGGGGAGGCCACTTCTGTGCATGGAGACATGTTACCCACAAGCCTGGAAGGGAATCATAGCTCCGTGGAATTTTAATGGCCAACTGGACCTAAGAAGCCATGGTTCAACTCACAAGGGAGGAAAACCTCCCAGGAGAGCAGAATGTTCCAGATGCCTGCGCATCCTGAGAGCCCTGAGCCCTGTTTCCCTCCTGCTCATCAGTACACTGAGAGTTTTCCTGCAAGGCTGATCTTCTGCTGGGGCTTTGCCCCTTTACCATCCTTGCTTTTTTGCTTCCCCAGGCGTCTGGATGCCAACCACATCAGCTACGTTCCCCCCAGCTGTTTCAGCGGCCTGCACTCCCTGAGGCACTTGTGGCTGGACGACAATGCCTTGACAGAAATCCCTGTCCAGGCCTTCAGAAGTTTATCAGCGCTGCAGGCCATGACCTTGGCCCTGAACAAAATACACCACATACCAGACTATGCCTTTGGAAACCTCTCCAGCTTGGTAGTTCTGTAAGTTTTATTGATTTTCTTTCTGTCTCTCTTTTTACACTTGCTACAAGTGCTGGCTCTTCAAGCCTTGAATGGGGACATTTTCAGAGAGGAAACCCCCCTGGACTTCTCCCCCAAATGACTCACGAATGTAGAATTCAGCCACGTTCAGCAAGCACCTGCTAAGTGCCAAGCACTGAGAGGCACTCCAAGATAAACTATGACCTCTGTTTCAGGGAAGCCCACATGTATTTTTCAGGCAATCGCCAGACTGGACAAAGTTAGTCCAGTGACTCAAATAAATAAATTTGAACAAAGTTAGTCCAGCGAATAAAAATTCCTTATTTCTGGTAATAATTTATAATTCAGCTCAAATTGAAATATGACCTTCTTACTATTTAATAAATTTTTTTGATCCCTACCGAGGGAGGAGAAGTAAGGACAAACCATTGACCGGGACCTGTGCATTCGTGTGGCTTTTTTCCCAATGGGTCGAGATTTCATTATTTGAAGTAAACCAAAATGATTCTCAAGTAATAGTTTGAAACGTAATCAGTCTCCTTTAAGGCTGTAGCTATGTGCCCCACGTGTATAATATAACGGTCAACCAAGGCGGATAAAGGAAGAGAGCCCCTGCTTGAAAGGCTGGAAGGCTGGTTTGCAGAGGAACTCTGAAGAAGGCTTCTTCTGCTCAATTGCTCCCTTTGCTCCAGGCCCGCCCACAGGCCCACCACTGCCTTCAGCTATTACAGTTTTCTTGATTTCCTGTCTCTCTCTCTCTCTCTCTCTCTCTCTCTCTCTCTCGTGTTACAGTTTATCTTCCTTGAGGGCTGGCCAACATCTTATCCATCTTTTTAGGTTCCCCTCAATCTCCTTCCCCCCATGGGCTGCATGTACAAGATCATCAATAAATGTCACCAAGATCTCCCATGAAACCAACATAGATTTATTAGAATAAACACCTTCATTGCAGTGCCGGGGTGGCTCCGTCAGTTGGGTGGCCAACTCTTGGTTTTGGCTCAGGTCGTGATCTCAGGGTTGTGGGATCAAGCCCCAGGCCCGGGTCGGCACTCAGTGCTCTGTACAGAGTCTGCTTGAGATTCTCCCACCACCCTTCTCCTTGCCCCTCTCCTCCTCCTCCCCTCACTCTCACGCTCTCTCAAATAAAATTAATTAATTAATTAGTTAATTAATTAATTAAAATCTTTGAAAAACCACACAAAACTTAGTCTAAAGAATAAGAAGTTTCGGGTGATATTGACAAATTCCTATACTGACTCACAGATACAAAGAGGATGCCACTGACCCACCGGAAGCTGGTGTGTGCATTAATTTTTCCTCCACCTGAGGGAATGGATTGACGGAGAGCCACCTGTTCGTCTTCACCCTCTTCTCCTTACGCCCATTTTCCAAAAATCCCTTGGGACTTGGTCCAGTTTTCAGTTATGTGTACAGCTGTTCCCAGCTGGACTTAACTGACCTGCCATTCAGCCACAGATGATAATTATACACGTTAATACTACGTCAAGATAACGAATCTACTGGGGCAGCCAAAAAAATCGGATCACTGTTCTCTGTGGCTAAATTGTGGTTGCCTCTTAACCCATGGTCCCGCCCTGGGAACGGAGCCATTGTAAGCCAGCAGCTTTAATAGAAAATATGTGTAGTTCACTAGGACCTTCCCTCCATCCTTCATTGGTCACTGATGGCCAGAATCTCTGCTTAACCCCCTACATCCGAAAGCCAGGTTAACAACCTGAATTTACTTTTATCAGTCACATTGCCTATATTATGATACACTCCTGGATATCTCAAACCCTAAAAGTAAAACCGTCTCTGCCTATTCAATTCTATAGTCTAGGACCATCTATGGTAAGAGTGGATGGGTCAGTTAGCCTTGGGCGGGGCGGGGGGGCGAGTTAAACAAAACATTTCTTATATACAATTAGTGCATTCTTTTCTCTAAGTTTCTTTGGATGTAAGCAATTAGAATGCTGTGCCTAAGTTTCCAGGAGCAGCGTGCCTTCATGACTGTGTCTGTAATGTTCTCCTGCAGGCATCTCCATAACAATAGAATTCACTCCCTGGGAAAGAAATGCTTTGATGGGCTCCACAGCCTAGAGACTTTGTGAGTTGACCTTTTATTTGTTTCCCTTTTTTCAGTGTTTTCATGAGTATTCTGAAGGAATCAAAATAGCCTTAAAGTCAAACTTGCTGTTTGGTTTGGTTAATTGCCTGAGCTTTAAACAGATTTTTACAGTGGCTTTATCTTAAACACACACACACACACACACACACACAGCTAATAAAACTGAGATTTTATTTTAATCTAACAAGAGTGGTAAATTAGAATCATTATAAGCTAAATGAGATGTTCTCTACTGAGCAGCGACTGTTTGTTTAGGAATGTGTACCCTGTGTCAGGGATCAATTCTAATCTGTCACTCAGGCTCACTATTCATGAGTCTAGTCTGCTGCACCCCCCCCCTCCCCCTGCCCATTGAGAGGATAAGGACCAGGCAAATGCTACACTCTCCAATCTGAGATGAACAGGCATCCCATTAGCAAACAACAAAGTGATTCGAAAAACTAAAAAGCAGTAATAGTTACCATTTACTGGGTACATGTTTATCTAAATACTGGTCCATTCAGCGTACGTGGTTTCAGTTACTCCTACACCCATCCTATGAGAGCAACCATCACCATCCCGCTGTGCTGTAAGCCCTAGTCCGGTTGAAGTTATTTTACCAACATGAGTAGCATACCTGGGATTTGCTTCTTCTCTAGTTTGACTCTGAAATCCGTGTTTACCAGTGCATGCGACTTCCAAAAAAATAGGTCAAAAGCTCAGGTCTGAACTGGTACCTATAATAAAAATCGAGTCCAGCCAGCTGACTGCCTAGAGCCTTTCCCAGAGCCAAGAAGAAAAGAGCTCTCACGTTCTCCGCACCACCACCACCACCTTCCCCCCTCCCCACCGCCCCCTGACCAGGCCCCAGCCCTTTCAGGGGAGGAGCCGCTCTTCACTGCCCTCCATGAGTGAGAGGGGTAGACTGAGGGTGAGGTGACAGGCAGTGGGGGTCCTGAGTGTTCTGGAGGAGAGGTGCTGGTTCCTGCTGGGCCCCCATATTTTTAATACTCAAGTACAATAAGCCACACAGGGCCACTGAATCTGCAGGGGTGGCTCTGCAGAAGGAGAGACCAAAGACCACCTCTCCTATGGCTTTGGAGCTCCATTACACCTATGCATCTGGACCTTAGCGTTTGTACTGTTTAGCTTCTAATCAGGTGTGGGTGTGAGGATTTCCTGACCTGTTGTCTGTGGCTGGTGGCTCAGGTCAGTGAGCGCTCCCAGCTCTCCTCCCCGGCTTACTTAAGTCACTCTGTGTTTCCTCATAGAAGGGAGGCATCATACTTACGAGGAGATGCCAAAGATGAATTTCTCCAGGCGGAACTTTGAAGTCGACTTAATGGCATAGGCAAAGCATTCTTATGAGGTGCTTGGAAGAATTAGAACTTCTCCCTTATCGACACAGGGCTGGGCTTGAGATCTCAGTAATGGAAAGCACCTTCCAGTCCTTTCCAACACAAGAGGAACAAAAAACAGTATTGGCTTTGAAGGGTATTTCCCCAAACAG